AATCATAATTCCATTCTTATTGCGTTTAAGAAAGTGGGGAGTACTACACACTGAGACTCAGATGGTCTGTTTTTATTATATAGTACGGTAGACAATGCAAAATGGTGCCTTGTGCTACTATAAAATTTATTCTTTTCAAGAAAGATTTTAGCAATTTCAATAAAGATAGCATGTACCAAAGAGAAGATTGTAAATAATTATATTTGATTAGTTAAACAAATTATTTCTCATTTATTATATAATGATTTGTTGTTGTCAATTTAAAAAAGGTTTGAACAGAAATTTTTTTCAAAGAATTTCAGATCCTTCTATAGCACAATATAAAAATTTATAATTATCTATAATTTATATTATAATATTACTATGTAATATTACTATATGTAATATTGTAATAATATTACTATATATAATATAGTAATATGTTTGACTAGTCCATATAATTCTGGATTGATTTTATATAAATAAGATTATTTCCTACATAAATTTCAAAAAAAAAATTTTAAAAATTATAAATGTAATGAATCAACGCTACTAAATCTTAAATGTCAGATCACTTCTTTAAATTTATATATATCGTGTTTGAATTAAAATAATCGGAATTATATTTATTGAATCCTAACATTTTATTCCTTTCATTAAAAATTTTATATATTAAAAAATGTGTTTTTCAGTTTTCTTTTTTTTTTTTAGAAAAATATCACACATAACATACATAAATTTTTATTTAATTATTTTGTTATGCACATAATTTAAGAGCATAATTTACGCCTCAAAATAATTTATAAGATTTATTTGAAGGTAGTGAAGCTCATAAATCTTAACACCTATACGAGTGCGTATCTCCACCTCCCCAAAGTCAAATGTCGGTTCATTTCTTTAATGTTATTGTTGTTTTTATTTGGATCTACTTTTTTTTTTAATGAAACGTAGCTTCATATGTTGTGTTATTAATTTTATTTTGATTTTAAATTAAACGGCAATTTATTTAAAACACGTAATTTTACTTTACAAACATTAAGCAACTATATTAGATTTATTTATTATAATTTTCTATAGACGTGTTGGACATACAAGCAGCAAAAAAAGATGGAAGCTAAAACTATAAATTTAAAAAAAAAATTATATATTTACTGATATGTGATAGTATTTTGATTGGTTAAATTATTTTTGCTAATGAAAAACACAATTTTTTAATTATATTATATATAATTGATAACAGGGTATAGGCATGTTGTTGTTATTGTTGTTGTTGTTTAGCCTCTGCTAATATTTACTAATACGATTAATTGTTGTTGTGTATTGTAAGCCATGTAGGCAGGCAACCATTTGCTTTCTGTTGTTTTGTTATAATTTTTTAGTTTTTCTGTTTTTGTTTTTGGTTTTTTTTGCATTACACCATTTTGCTTAAGTAAAAATTAATCATTGCTTTTGTATGTACAGCACAGACACTCACTAACCCACCGTAGTTCGTAGCCTAGCATAAACAAGCACTTACATGCCCTCATTTGTGTGAGTGTATTAGGAGGTTAAGCGTAGCATAAGCATTGTGTTACGTATACGTATGGGTGAATTAATAATTTATGTGGACCGCCTGCTGTTTGTTTGATTGGGCCACAAATGCCGCGTATTACAATATTAACAGCAACAACAAGAGCAGAACGCTGCTTTCTGCTTTGTCTAATCAAATACGACAGCGGCAAGCAGCGAGCAGCGAGTAGCATTCTTTTTTATATTATTAATTCTATCAGCTGTCAATATTTGTCAATAATTTTTATAAATTTACTTATTTCCAATGTAGACAATTTATTGGTGTTCTCAAAAACAGCACGACAGATACAAATTTATGTAATCACATTGCGAATGATGACTGGTGTGAGACACGAAGAGTGTGGTTAGAAGTACATAAGCATAACAGTTAATTATACAAATAAAAAAAAAAACAACTCTAAAAGATACAAAATTGGTTCAACTCTGAAGTCAAGCTTTTATTTCGATATTGTTTTGATGTTTGTAATTATTGGGTATTCCTTGGGTATTCAACTTAAGATACAAAGATACTGACAAAACTCGTTGTTGAAATGTTATTTCTTTTTTATAACTTAATTTAAAAAATATTTAAATAGATTTATTTGACGTTTCTCTTAGATAGAAATAGGGATCTCATATGTGAAATGTGCAGATCAAAAATCACAATACAATACTCGAGAGAAAAAGAACCGCGCTACGATTAGCCACAGTTCATATTTTTGCATTTTAGAAAGGTATAAGTCAGAAATCAGATTAGAAATATTTTTAATTTGTTTCAAATTAATTTAATTAAAATTATTTTACATATATTAAATTAAAATAATAATCGTGACTATTCATTTCCAAATCCAATATATGAGATTAAGGAACTGCAGAATACTATATTTTTATAGTGAGATATGCTATTAAATAATATAATATGTAGTAATAAAAGAATATGATGTTATACAGACAGTCATGGTCACGTCAAATTTCAAACTGTTGTTGGTTTCAATGTAAATTAAGAAATTGATATGGAGAGAAAAAGAGAAATGATGAGGCTTTGTGTGTCTCATCACGTTGGTCAAAACAGTGTTGCTTAGTACTAAATTTTAGTGATTTAATTTGGGATGCTTACAGCACTTGATGAATTTTGCAGATTAAAAATTCCTATAAAAGTAGTCTCCTTGGTTGTGTTCGTGTGTAGAAAAGCAAAGAAACATTATAAGAAATAATTTATTTACATTTATTTTGATTTTAAAAATTATAGTTTTTATTTTTATTCCGTTCTGGTATGAAGAATAAAATGTTCGTCTGTATAAATGTAAAAAAAAAATTTCAAAAAATAATGGAATAAAAATATTCTGAAATGTATGGGTTTAATAACCTTTTCAATAGTATCAAATCATGAGTAAAATTTTAATTCACTAAATGCAATAAATTGTGTAAAAACTGTTGTAAAGATTAATTTCAATCTTAATCTTTTACTTAAATGTGTCATGAACCATCAGAAGTAAATATGTGTATTTTGGTATGGATATTTAAACATATTCAAACAAAGATAGCTTCTAAATTTACATACAAACAAAAAACATCAAATTAGAGTGAAAATAAGAAATATGCCATTCTGATATGATTCTCTCTATAACATGCCTTCTGGTCGTGACTGAAGACAGCGCAAAATTGCCGTAAGCATTCTTCTATATGACTGTGTGCATAACATGCCTCTAAGATCTACATGTCTACAATATGAATAAAAATACTGAACCAAATTAAAGATAGTGAAAGTATATGAAGTTGACGGAATACGGAATAGAACACGTATCACATATCAGTAACAAAGGATGCAATAAGACTTATAAAAGTCTCATTGAAGTGAGAAATATAGAAGTGACAAACTGTTTGAAAAGTCAATAAACTTGTCAAATTAATTCAAAAACCTATTCCAAAAACTCACTTTACAACTTGATATTCAAGAAGAGCAATAAGAATTCAGCCCAAATTTTGTAAATGGTATATGGAAAATATAGATCTCAACATATCTGCAAGTATGTGTTCTGCAGGAGTTCCGAAGACTTCCGAAGACGACTTCAATACCGATACAAAAGTTCACGTCGGCATATTTTTTATTCCTTCTATTAATGAAATGCTGTAAGTGAGTGAAAGAGCATTAAGTTGATTTTGAAGAACCAGTACTAATCAACGTTGCAATGCCTAGACAATGTAAAGATATGAAGAGATATCAAAACATATAATAAGCAAAATGTAAATGCCAAAACTATATCCTGTGTAGATCGCGTTGAATTAATAGCAAATCCTTAAGATAACCTAAGACACCTTTTATTCAACTTCGTGACAACAGTAACAGATTATAACATAATAATTAAAAACCCCTCATTCAAAATAGCTTTATTTCAGTTAGGTTTCCAGTTATAGCTTTCATTATATTTAAATCTTCCATCTGATAAAGCCTTTTTATCAGATGGAAGGGCTTTTGTTTCTTCTAAAAACATTTTCAAGGATTTGATAAAAATAATAGACTGACACAATCGCATGATTTTGTTAACACATATATAAAGCATATTCCAGTTAGAATGTATATTATTATTTGTTTAAATTTCCACTAAAATAGAAAATTACTTCCTGTAAAACATTTACTTTTCTTTTTAAAAGGGAAAGTACCGAAAATGTAAGATATTTATTGAATTTATGTTAGAACATTTCCCATCTTTAGAACCTCGTATTACTACTACATACATTATAAAATTTCTAATGATTTAATAAAAATTCAAAAATACAGCAGACATTATCATTTTCTTAACTAACCTTACAGTGAAAATAATTCATGGCAGTTGCAAATTTTTATTGCTGGCTTTGAGGCTTTGAAAGAGGTGTGTTGTTGTCCAGTTAATTGGTACCAAACGTACTTAAAGTACTTCAAAAGCAATTTTTGTTTTATCTAAAGTCAGCAATATCTAACTTCATTATACAAAGAGTAAAGGTAATTTATTATTATTGATGTAACATAATTTGTATGCCAGACTATATGTATTTGCCTTAGCCTTATGACGACCGTTGCGCTGAAATTGTTTTCCAATATTTTTTTACTGCGATATACTCGATATAGTCGATTCTTTCCCAGGCAGGCAACTGTTAACAAATGTTAATATCAAAGGTACGAACGACTATGAACACAACTGTTTATATAACACGAATAGTATTGTAAACATTTTGCTTATGAATATGCTAATACGGAAACATTTATTTTGCAAAATTATATCTTTTTTCAATAACGCAAACGTTATAAGCAAACAGAGATTTCGTATCTGCTGTGCCTGTTGTATCTGCTTCAAATGCTTGTAACTATTTGAAGGTTAAGTACAACAGATACAAAATGTCAATACCTGGAGTGTGGAAATCATATGCAATATTCGTAAATTAAAGACTGAGAAATTAGCATAAATATGAAAATGTATATTACTTTAGATACTTACCAGTTTCGTTACGTGATAGTGTGACTTGTGATGTGGTAGAACCGACAGCTGCTGCTGCTGCTGCTATACCAGTGGCTAATGCAGTTCCAGTTGCTGTCGAGGATTGATGCGATGTTTGTGCTTGTGTCGTTGGCACTATGATGGACAACGCAACCATTATTAAAATCAGATACATAAGCGATCGAGTTAATTGATCGATGCAACTTAGATATGGTTGTCGCTTGAAGGGATGAGACAAAAACCGCGGGTCATGATCTTGGTGTCCGGAGGAGTGATGTTTATGTTGTGGATGTTGTTGGCGTTGTTTTTGTTTTTCTTTTTGTGTATGTTTATGTTGTGATGCTTTTAGAATTTGTTTATTTGCTGCGATTGCCATTTTATTGTTTGCCTTTTTAGCATTATTGTTTAAATGATAATTATTACTATTACAATTATAATTATTATAATCATTATTTTTAGAATAGGAATTATAAAGAAATATCAGTCTTGACAATGGAGGACATTGTTGTCTTTTATTGAAAAAAAAGTTGACATGCGTTCGCATGTAAATTTGCATATATTGAAGTGTTATCAATAAGAAACGATATACTAGAGACGGTTTTCTCTCACTCTCTCTCTCACTTCTCGGGGAGTTTCCAGTTTTAATATTGTTGTTGTTGCCTTTAATATTTGTACCTTCCGTTAGTTTAGTAGTTCCATCAAACAAACTTGCATTCATTGGATGATCCATAGTTAACGGTATTGCATTCGTTGTTGTATTTCTTGCAGATAGCGATAGCGATGTTGGTGATGTTGACGTTGACGTTGTTGATGATTTTATACTGATAACCGTTGTTGAAGGAATCATTTCTTTATTTGTTATATTCATATTTGTTGTAATAGCAATGCTACTCGCCGTTTCATTTGCATTAGCTATGTTCGAGCATTTACAAAAATGTTTGCATAAACAATTCAATGTGGTTGTTGCTGTTGTTGTTGGGCAGGAACTATATTGTCGTTTATTTTTATAGCAACAGCTGTTACATAGCACTGTTGCTAGTTTGTTACACTTTTTGTTGCAATGGCAGTGATGATGAGGATGCGACTGGCAATGATGTTGTTGCGGTTGTTGTTGCTGTTGGTGCTGCTGGTGATGTAAATCAAGTTGCGTTGTTGTTGCGCATTGTTTTGTGCTGTCAAATTCAGCATATTTGTTGTTTAGGTGTGATATTCTATTTATATACATCATTTCTTCATCTCTACTAGGTATGTCATTTGTATTGGTGTTATGGGATCTGTGGCTGGCATTGATACTACTCACACTACTCACACTATTCATACAACTAATATAACTCACACACTTGCTTGACTTCATAACTTGGCCACATTCTATGCAACTGTCCACCATCTCCTGTCGGCATATTAAACAAACTTGCGTACAATTTTCCGACAATCTTTCATTTTCAGCACTAATATCGCTATGTTTCCTAGTAACCGCGGTCTGTTTTGTTGTTGCTACTGTTGGTGGCATATTTGGTTGTTGTGATGTTTCGTCTAACAATTTTACTCGATCCGTTTCTTTAGCACAATTAAAAGTATCGAAAAATTTAAATAAAAATAATTTTCGCTTTTTCTTCAAAAAATAATTGGATAGCCCCGTAGTGGTCTTTGTTGTGGTGTTTGTTAGATTTGTTGCTGTTGCGCTCATGTTGTTGTTTTTGTTGTTGTTTACATTATAAGGAAGATGTTGGGTTCTTATGACCATTTTAGCAGATCTCACATACAACTATTTTGCGCTACATCTAATATGTTTCGCTATTTTGCTATATATATATATATGCCGCCTTGTGAGTCTTATCAAAAGACACTAACTATCTATAGTTGAGTATCTTTACGTGTTAAAAATCGTTGCAGTTTTGGTATGTGTTGATTTTGCTTAAGTTTAGGTAATAGAGGAGGCCGTCATTTTCGCACAATATTATTCGTCCTTTGTAGTTTGTACATAATCAGCTAAAAAAAAGAACAAATAAATTATTATTTTAATATATAATATATAATATACAATATATTAATCATAATCAACAATTTTTTCAGTAACTAATACAAAATATACTGAAAAAATAACACTAATGCAAAATAAGCGTACCCATTGTATTCCGATGAATCAACTTCAAGAAGAAAAAAGAATTGTTAAAGATTCCAAATCTGTACAAATGTAGGTTGCTGCACATAATTAATTAATTTTTTTACTTACTAATAAAAAATGTATTATAAAAATAATACTAATGGGTATTAGCAACCCACTGTACTAAGATAAATTAAAACTTCAAATTTAAAATAGGAAGGATCAGATTAGACTCCAATTACAAACGAAGGTTGCTACTTAAATGTTGCCTATAATTGACATTCGGGAAAATCGGGCACTAACAATAATATAAACAGATTACAGAAGACCTTGCACAAATATACATGTCAGTGACCCAACAAAGAAAATCAACAACATAAAACAAATGTACTATACATATATTATATATAACTTAAGTCGGTTAAAATAAATTACTACTACAGATAAATATAGTAGAATTTATTATAAACTGAGTATATTTGTTATTATGTCATTTATCAAATCATTATATTTAACCAGCGTTTTTGAACAACCTGTGTTTAGACATATATGACACAATTCCGTCATACATACGTATATTTATTAAAGACAGGTCTTAATAATGGGCGTTATGTACTTTGTGATTCTGATTTAGTACTGCAACCACCGACAAAACATATATAGTGTCCGTGACATAAGCCAAACCAAACTCTCATCCAAGACATCAAATGTTTAGTTACAGGTTAATGTTTTCACAATGTGAATCGTGTGAAGTTGTAAATTCTATATACAATAAATTCTAATAAAATGTATTATAATATATTCCACAGTTTATTATAAAAGATATGTCAACAAAGTGACGACTAGGTTTCTCTGACAGAAAATGAATTCCCTATGTAGGAAAAAAAAATTCTAATAAACATAAGAAATCAGAAATGATTCCTTGTTGGAGTTTTAATAATTAAGTCAATAATTGACAACTGCTGAATGTGTTACAATTATGAAAACTTACTAAAAGTATAGCCGCATAATAGACCCGACGGTCGCAGTGGACATATCCTATACCAATAATACTATAAGTACAGATGTTAGCTTTGGATTTGCCGAAACTTTACATAGAATAATAAATCTACATTGACGTCTTATTTATGATAATATATTTAATGTAATATATACATTGCAAAAAAATTTTTAAAGACAAACATGTTCCAAAAGTTTATTTACAAGCTATATCTAAATTAAAAGTGATTAATTCCATTTCTACTACAAGTTTTTCAACAAAAACTTGGGTATGATATGGCAGTTTATAATGCAGCTATACTTAAATCAGAGCCGATGTAAATAAAATTTTATATATTTTCTCATACGAGTATAAGTATATTACCATATGTACCAAATTTTATTTCCATATCTTTATTAAAAATTTATATACGATTGTTCAGTTTATACGGCAGCTATAGTAGTTTCGGCAAATTCAATAAACGAGGTTCATTTTCTAAATGATTCGTTAGTTCTGAATTTTATATACATACAATAGAAAACCTGTTTCTGAAAAGCCAGTTTGTATGGCAGCTATATCTAAATAAAGCCCAATATGAATAAAATTTGGTACATTGTCTTATATTCCATAAATACAATGTAAAATAAATTCTGTACCAAACTTCATTTGAATATCTTAATAAAAAACTGGGAAAACTCACATCCGATTGTTCAGTTTTTATGCCAGCTATAGTATATAGTGGTCTGATTTTGGCCAATGCGACGAATTATCAAAGTCCACTTCCGAAAAGCATGTACACAAATTTCATTCAAATATTTCAAAAATTGAAAGAGTTCTATAAAATGTATGGACGGACAGGACTAAATGAACTCAGTTCTTCGAAGTAAACAAGAATATATACACTTTATGAGATCTAGCACGTTTTTTTCAATGCGCTATAAAATTCTGAACAAGTGAACTCAGCTCGTTGAGTTAATCAATAATATATACTTTATGGGATAAACGACGTCTCTTCAATACCTTACAAAAATTCTTTATATGTAAAGAATTATATGTTATATTATATTATATGTTTTATATGTAAAGAGTTAAACAGTAATGAGAAAATTTCTTATTAACTCAATTTTTTTAGTGATAAGATCGGGGGCAGCGAAAATTGATAAGTAATTGTTAAAAGACCCTTGCAACTATAAGATCCATTATACTATTATATATGTATTATAATAACATATAATTT